TGAAGGGCCAATAAATGGCAGAGGTAGGGTGAGTCGTCATGTTTCGGTTGTTGGCTTTTCTTTAGTCTGCGTTGCTGTTTGGTCGTTGAGTTCGACACGGCACCGATGTAACACATGACCCGGATTACCATCGAGTCTCCTCGCCAAGTCAGACCAACCCCTGAGTGTGGCTCTGCGCTTCTGGCCTTTGAGCACTGAAGGGCTACATTGACATGACATAACAATGTAGGGTTGAGGGTGTAGGGGTTTTGTACATGCTTATTCTGAACCCTAATGTAGAGTTTATACCAGAACCCTAACCCTAAACCTGAACTCTATTTCTAGGGATCCTACAAGATACTTGGTAGGTTGAGCTCGTGTTGAGGCCTCGAGTTCCGCAGATCATAACCTCCGGATCTCCCCCCAAGCGGAATGAACAAACGTCTTGGCCTTGGCTGCCTTAAGAAGTTTCAAAAAGGGTTTGGGCATATTTTTTACCAGAATGATGTTAGGGACTGTAAGGGGATATTACTACTGAAGAATCCAACCCCAGTATGCCAAGCACCCACCTGCATCTAAAGCCTTGAGGCTTGGCGAGGAGAAGCAAGCAGCAAAGCGAGAGGAGATGCTCATGCTAGAAGCACTCCTGATGGCACTTCTGGAAGCATCCCACGTTTGCGGGTGGCTTCCAGCCTCCTACGTGTTTTCCTTGTTTGAACTAAGTGGGCAGTGGGCTGCGTTCATGCGATTTTGTACTTGCTCTTAGAATTGTCATTGGTGCTGCCATCTTCATATACCAACTGTAAGAACAATGCAGACATACTATTGTTGTTATGCCTTGTCAGCTTGAAGTATCTTGTGTGGCCTGTAGTTTGTGCCGCATTCGCCATGCTACTGTCCTCGACTGGACATGAGCCACAGTTCCCGACGACCGTGCACTTTGCAGCTCGTGCAAACTCCAGCAGTTCTCCGGCTCATTCTTTTGGAGAAATTAGCGGTATGAATATCTCAGTCGAAGATTCAACATGGGTCTGAACAAATTGGGTACGATGTCCCAGAATACCCTGACTCCGATCGTGAGCAGGCCTCTTTTGGTTTAACCAGTTATAAACACACATATATAGAGGATCCCATAACTTAACCTCCCAAAGGAACTACGGGCACCATGGAGACTATCTGCATACCTACATATACATATATACACACAAAAAGGTGAAGCTGGGCGAGCTTCATGTGCCATTGTGGGTTCTGGGGCTGAGGCAGGGTCTTAGCACAGAGAGCGCGGAAGGAAGGTTTCGCAGGACCTGGCGTCGTCACCAACATCTAAACAGAGAAATCTCGTGGGCCAAACAAATGTTCGGGCATCATCGCCGTCATAATCATCATGAGAACCATCATCACAATGCCAGGAGAGCTTCCATGCCCAGTCAGACTAGTTGCTAGTTGAATATAGACACTGCATAGTGACATAGTGAAGTGCCGCACGTCGGACTCCTAAACCCAAGGGCCCAGCATGTGGTGATCACTGCCTCGCAGGTTACCTTGTGGAGAAGCTCACTTCTGCAAGGTGGGTCGATGAGGGATCTAGCAAGGTCCTACTTTGATGAGCTATGATTGCATGATATCAACTCCCTTGCTGCAGTAATGTCGGACAGGCTCCTCTGACTCCATTGCTCACGACCGCTACTTTCCTGCGCGAAGCCAGAACAAACAAGTTAAGTCAAATCTCTACGCGGTTCCCAGAACACAATCTCCCAAAACAAAGCCCAGCATTTCAACCCTCAATCGTATGAGAAATCTTACAAGTAGTATGGCAAGCTCCAGCTCTTACACTCAACCCAACAACTTCACGGATTCTACTTAGGAGCTTCAGGAATGAGTGTTGAATACTACTCGCGAAGCTCATGTGTTACATAGTCCAACATTCGACATATGAGGCCGAGGCTTGTTCAAAACTCTACACAGCTTACAGACTTCACGAAACAAGCAGCACATGGCATCTCACAGCACCATACAGATCCGAGTTAGAGTAGAAGCAGGGATAACAGAGATCATATGCAACATGTTGCGTGTTGAAGTGGTGAGCTCTTCCACTGCAACTCGAACCAAGGCATCATCAGCACTACCTCCCTCATGCTCACTGCAGCTATGCGTGCAACTGTAGTTTATGAAACTGGCTTTGCTACGGCAGTAGCTTCCGCTATTGATAGTGCTCCTGGGACTGGAGCAGCCGCTGCTGCTGCTGCCGTTGCTGATGGTGGTGACTGCGAAAGGGTGTTACTGCTGCTCTTGTTGGCGGTGATGAATTGGCTTGTGCTTTGGATGCGGTCGCCGGTCGTCTCCGTTGTGATCTCGTGCTCGTGCACGTCCATCGTCGCCGCCGTCAGCTGCATGTGTGTGTGTGTGTGCGTGCGGCTGTGCAGTCTGCAGCAGCAGCTGCCGTTGTTCTGATGGTGTTGTTGTGGTCCTGGTGACCGATCCCCTTGTTGACTTGCAGGTGTTGTTCTTGATGTGACCAGTGTTATTGCTGCTGCTGGCTCTCGTGAAAGCGCTGGCAGTAGCGGGTGAGCCAATGCCGCTTATAGTGACGGTGTAACTGCTGCTGATGCTGCTGTGGCTGTGCTGATTGTAGCTGCTTGTGTCTGTGTGTGTTCCTGTTGATCGTTGTTGTTGTTGTTGCTGCCGTTGTCGTTGTCGTTGTCGCTGTCGTGTCGTCGTCGTCGTCGCCGCCGCCGTCGTCGTCGTCGTCGTCTTTGTCGTCGTCGTCGTCGTGATCGTGGTTGTGGTTGTGGTTTTCATTATTGTTGTTCTTGCTGCTGCTGCTGCTGCCGCCACCGCTGCTTCTGCTTCTGCTTCTGCTGCTGGTGTTGTTGTTGCTGTTGCTTTTGTTGTTGTTGTTGTTGTTGTTGCCGTTCTTGGTATTCTTGTTGTCGCTGTCGTGGTCATTGTTGCTGCTGCTGCTCTTTGCTTTGACTGCTGCTGCTGCTGCTGATGATGATGGTGATGATAGTGTTGCTGTTGTTGCTGGTTGAAATCCTTCCCTCTACTATGAATCATAGCACGTACTTTGTCACTGACTTTGTCAGTCTGAGTTGCCACTCTTATCAGATCTTCAAACAATTCCTCGGGCATCCGCGATTAAAGTCCAAACTGGCACATGTGTTGCGAGTCCACTAGTAATCACTAGTATTGCGCCCATTACTGCTGACAACCATTGCTGCAGCTGCTGTTGTTGTAGTTGCTATCGTGACTGCTGATGATCCTGGTAATGCTGCTCTTAGTGCTGGAATTCAGAGGACTGGTGCTTTGCCGTTTGGCATCGTCAAGGTACCTCCATATGTATTGCTTCGATGACGACTCTATTGTCTACAGTCCTAGGTTTCTCCTACAACTTTTTTGCAATTGTGATTACCCAGTACTCCGAACACACAGTTGTCGTGACGGCCAGTACCACTTTCAAAATGGTTGGCATGAAAGTGACTACTAAGTGTTGGTTGCGGTCAAACGACATTGACAAGCTCGTTCGTGTTCTTCAAGTCAAGGGCCTAGCTACGGTAGTGTTCCTAGGCGCGGAGGAGTGTCAGCGGCAAAAGTGGTATTCTTGCTCGCACCAGCTGTGACGGTGGCCATCGTCAATGATCGATGCATAGCAGTGCAGCGTTGCCGATTCCCTCGTACTGCTATGCCTGCATTTGCGGAAACTTTAAGGCACCCTTTATGTAGCAATGATGATACTAAGACTGCGCTGATCCTCCGCTACATAGAGAGCGACCAAGGAGCCGCATCTGACGTTTGGGGCGGGCACAGGCTCAACACGCGCTGCCACCTGTTGAGGGCTCAGCACGCACACACGCGCACACAGTACTGAACTTACGAATTTCTGATATACTTGCTTACCGCTCAAAGCCCATTGAACCACAAAGGAAGGCTGGTACACAAAAGCACGTACCAACTTGGCGGAGCGTCTCTGATGGATCAGTGGAGGCGGCAATAGCCTTCAGAGCAAGCTGACCTCGGCTTGGACTGGACTTGAAGGGCTTTCTTACGGCTTGTGAGATCTAGGCCGTATGGGGCAGCGCAAAGCCTTGACACCTTTAGTTTCAGTAGTAGAAGAAGTAGTAATAGTAGTAGTAGTAGTAGTAGTAGTAGTAGTAGTAGTACTAGGAGTAGGGGTAGCAGTAGGAGTAGGAGTAGCAGTAGCAGTGGCAGTAGTGGTACTCGCAGTACTAGCAGCTACATTTATAGAGCCATAACCTTGTTCAAACCAAGTACATCAGCACGGAATGCTCTCCAAACAGCTAGAAACATCGTAAGACAGAGAGCCAGCTCCAAATAGAACTCACTGCAAACAGGTCGCTGTTTCTTCTGCACTACAACTGGGGGACACTTCAGTGCTTGCAGGCAGTAATTTCGCTTCAGGGTCTGGGATTCAGGGTTCTCGCGACCCTAAGCCCCCAAGATGCAGATCCCCAAGCTTCATCCCAAGAACACTGAATCACAACGGTCTATAAACGAAAGCCCAGCTGCCACCAGACACAGCCACAGCGCCCAGTGACATCCAAAGCCCAAGGCTATGTTGCCAACGCCCGCCTCAAGACAAAAACCCGGAAAATGTAGAAAATCTCAGGCCTCTATAGGGGTTCAGGACCAAGGATGTCGACTTTAGTTTTCGGGTGTTTGGGTTTAGGAGTTCAAGGATTTGTGGCTTTGAGAGATGAGTTCCGATAAAGAGATTTGGGTCCAGGGTCTTATGTTTTGGATGTGGGCTGGGACATCCATAGCTATTCGGAGGTTCAGCCCTTGCAGTAGAAGGTTCAAAACTCTTCGTGCACCCTGAAGACGGGGCCTCCCTTCGAGATTTTACTCGAAATCTAGCTCTACACTGCTGAGCCTCTACTGAAGCGAGACTGACGCGAACTACCCTAAACCCTAAACCCTGAACCCTGAACCCTGAACATTGGACCCTAAACCCTAAAGCCTTGTCTCAAAATCCCCAGCGGCAAAAGCTTTGAGACCCGGGCCCTTCTCGGAAGCGCTGAGCACGGAATTGAAAGCTACGGCCTCTTGCTCCAGCCTGAAGAAAAAGAGCGAGAGAGAGAGAGGCAGCATCTGCTTTCTGAGATTCAGGCTTTAAGTTCCTGAAGCTGACAGGAGCTCGTTTGGAAAGGGCTCCACGTCCAGAGAGGAGTAGGTGCCAAGGTTGAAGACTGTTTCGAAGACGGAAGCCGAAACCAGCGAGCCACACGCGCTTTAAGGCTTCCTTGAAGGGTTCTATTCCGGGCTTTCTTTTTAACCCTAAACCCTAACCCAAACCCATGAAGGGTTCTATCAGGGCTTCCAGGTTCCCCCGGTGGCAAACTTCTGGAGGCAGGACATTCCGACCTTTCGTTCACTCCCTCTACTTTCAGCACCGTTAAAGATGCCTAGGCACAACTTGCCCCGCAAGTCGTCCAAAAGCGCTGCTTCAGTCAGGACCGCAACAGCCTCAACCAGCACCTACACCGCCAAAAGTCATTTATGTTGGCCTGAGTGATGGTGCATGGCTAGGTACACTGGTACCGGTACATGTGAATGCAGGTGAATCTTTTATGTCGTCACGTGTGACAGTGATAAAAGCTTCAGACAGCATTAGCGGATTAGCGTCTGCAGCGGAATCTCTGGTCCGAGGTATGGATATGCTACGTACTATGTCGGCACATTTTCATGGCTCAACATGCCCTGAGTCTCCACACTGCAGTAGTCAGTAGCCCTACGTCTCAAGTGGCTCCTCAGTCGCGTGCGTCAGTGGCCGCATAGAATGGAAAACTGACGCGGCACCTGGTGTGTGCGGGGAGCTTGCCACTTCAACTTGCCATGACTGCCTGGCTCCTTGACAATCATTCATTCATTGAGGTACAGGACAAGGTGCATCCTGTCGAAAAATGTCAGTTACGTCAATTTCACTTTGTGTTGAAAAAGTAGTGGGATACCACTGAACTCGACGCGACATGCCCTGCGCGAGACAGAGACGTGCCTGAGAACAGCTGGGGGTAGCTCGGACATTGCAGCGGTTCAGACTTGCATGTCTTGAGAAGTCGTAGAACCCCAAAGAGATGGCATTGCAGCGCTGACACACAGAAGACTCTTCTGGGGCACGGTGGAGTTACAATCTCGCAGGCCGTTGAAAACCAAAGTCCTTTCCGAACTTAAACTTGAACTTCGCGGACGAGTCCCACGACATACAGCATTCCTCTCAGACCACCTGCCCGGACCGAATCCCTATGATCCTATAAAACCTTACATTCAAAAAAAACACCGAAGCAGAGGATGGTTCGCCAAGCAAAGGGGAATACCAGTACGGCTAGCAAACTGTGACGATGCTGGCACTCATGGAGCCAGAGCACCAGAAAGAAAAACGCACACCAACTAGCCAAGATCCTTGAATTTGCCGGGATTGACCACCTTGAAACCCAGCGTTCATAGTGCTACGTGGTGCATCCAACATAAGACACCGTCCGTAAGCGCCCTAGCTAGACACCCAAGCCAAATGGTCAAACTAGCATGTGTGAAATCCTAAACCCAAAAGCCCTGAAACCTAAAACCCGAAAGCACCACACCCCTAAAACACAAAAAACAAATCCCAAAACTCTAAACCACCCAGACCACCCCCCCCAAAACAAAAATGGACTCCGCATGATACTCCTCAGCCGCAAGCGCGCCCACTGTGTCCCCTGGATGCTGCCTTCACAGGCACTCACTACCTCGGACTGCTGCGAGGCAGTTTCCTGGTCGTTTTTTGGGGCTGGGGGGGGGGGGGGCGGAAAGTGGTAGTAGGGCTTCGGGTTTACGGGTTTAGGGTGCTTCTGCATTAGTCGGAGTTCCAGAGAGGGCCCAGTCGTTGGCTCTTCCGATCAAGCTTGAAGCGCTCTAAACACCATGACAAAACGGAATAATATTCTACTACACTATACTATACTCTTGTATTTTTATCTTAACATACTATACTTAGCCGATCGCCGTCCGAAGAAGGATGGAGTCCAGCTTGAGTTGGGCCTGGCAAGAGCTTCAATGACTTCCTGGTTTAGGGCTTACGGCTCAGGGTGTAGGATTTTGGGCTTAGGGTTTAGGGCAATTTGGGGGCTTGAATAGCGGAAACAGGGTGCTTGGCTCTGTGTAGTATTGCATGTCCGCCACACTCGTCATGATGCTTTCCCACACCGCCGAAAAGTAGATCCCCTTGTTTGGTGCATCTGGACTCCGACCCCTCCTGGCAAAAAATCAACATGCCGACAGGAAAGTGCGAGGTGTGGGCCCTTCCAAGATTGCAGGTCCCCTGCCTGTCTGTCCCTGTCTGAGTCCGTCTGTATCTGTCTGCATGCATACATGTATGTATGTATGCATGTATGTATGTATGTATGTATGTATATATGTATGTATGTATGTATGTATGTATGTATGTATGAATGTTTGAATGTATGTGTGTATGTACGTATGTACGTATGTGTGTATGTATGTATGTATGTATGTATGTATGTATGTATGTATGTGTGAATGTATGTGTGTATCTGTGTATGTACGTATGTATGTATGTATGTATGTATGTATGTATGAATGAATGTATGAGTGTA